CAAGAGGATCGTAAAAACGTAAAATTACTTCCGATCTGTTGACGATTGCAACGGGCTTTGCGTACGTAAATCGAAAGGGTAGAGAGAGTTTTTGGAGTTTTTACGCTTTGGTTTTTGAAGAAATGGTAAAAATGTGCCTGAATGTTTAATTTGTGCCTGCACAAATCATTTCAGTATTTCTAAATACTCTCATACCGGGAAAATATAATTTTCGCACACAAATTTATCGTTATGTCATATTTAGTCCTTTCCCACAATTTTCATCTAGTACCTCAAACATGTGTCAATCACTGTATTAACTGACGGACGACCAGTAAATTGACATAAATGACCACAAGTGTACAGAAACATGAGAGACTAAAATTTTATTTTGTGAACAAAAAAGACCAAATATTAGGTCGAGGTAAAATTGAGGGACGTAAAAATGCATTTTATTCTTTTAAATCACCTAACAATGTGCTCTTCAAGTTTTAAGGGGGTCAATATGTAATTATTATTATATTTTATTATTTTAAATGGGGTCATTATCTTGTTTGACTAGTAATATTTAGTGGACATGTTTTATTGGAGTAGGGTCGGGCCCCCTAGCCCATTTAAATATAGTACGGTTGGGCCTAGAAGCCCATTTGCCACCTCCAAAGTAATTACTTTCAAGGACAGCTAATTTACCTATATACATTTTGAGCCTTGAAACCCCACCCCCACCCCCACCCCCATATCATTTATTAATGTTAGGTTGGCACCTTGAATTTTAATTAAGAAAGTACTACAAAATTAGAGGTGTAAATCGAAAGGATAAGATTCGAATTAGCATTACCGGATTTTTTTTTTATTTGGAAAAATTGATTATAAATTAAATATAAACGAAAATTGAAACTAGAAAGCTTGTTTTATTTGGACCAAAATCGATGAAATTAAGAATTTTCATTTTAAGTTATATACAATATAAAATAATATTGATGTTATAAGTGAGATTTTCCGGGGGGGTTGGAATTTCGAAAACATTTTTGGATTTATCGGATCAAAATTTGAAATATAGTATGTATTTCAATTCCGGTCCAAACAAATCGAGAAACTGGAACTCTCAACTTTTGAAATAAAAAATATAGTTCCTAAACGAAAGGGGTAACACTGAATTGGCTGAATTCTGAAATTTCTTTCCGATTTCCGCCCATATACAAAGCAATTCCACACATTCCTTTATATGTGTCTCTCTAACCCTTTTATCATACTACATAGCAATTCAACATTAAAATAGTCGCCTTTTCCTGCACCAAAGAATTATATATATATATATATATTAAACTGACTACAAAGTTTCAGCATAAATTAATGATATAGTTTATCAAGGTAAATAGCATACAGAATATGAATGTACATTTTATTACTAATAAGAATGTGGTAATATTCGAGTAAAGCAACTCCCGGAGAAACCTTTCACCGTCGAGAATAGATACAAATTCAATCAAAGGATTTTCAATCACGAACCAGACATGTACGTGTATCTCGTCTGGGCTCCAGTTATAAGTTCCACCAGTTTCTCTACAAATACAACGCACGATTTTTCAAGAAAGTTCCAGAAAGAATATACATATATATACACAAACATAATTACAATACTTACCAGTCAGAAGCCCGACAACCGGAACAGGTTCTAGAACCTTCTGAGTACCATCGAGTCTACGCCTGAAACACCGAGGAAACAAAGAAAACAAAAATATAAAAACTGAAAATCTGTATTTTTTGTATTCTCGATTATCAATTTATCAAATACCTATCTATTCCAAGATTTCTACTTTTGATTTCAACAATTTTGAACATTCATCAAATTCATCTATATTATCCAATTTCTAACTTTGAAGAGTTACCGAGCATATTTTCGACATACTGCATTTTAATTACTATTATTCTTATTAAAATCTACAAATTTTACTTCATGTTATACTATTTTTTTTTGTTTGTAAATAGCTCTTAAAACGGATCTTACCGTGTATACTTTGTGAAGAATGGATCTCTCATGAGGTAAAGCGCCCACAGAAACTTCCGTCTTTTTAACTGCAGTATATGCCCGTTTATCGTTTCAGCATTCAATTAATGCCAGAAGAATCTTAACTCTGCGTGTGTGTGTGGGTGTGTGTGTGTGGGTGTGTGTGTGTGTGTGTGTGTGTGTGTGTGTGTGTGTGTGTGTGTGTGTGTGTGTGTGTGTGAGAGAGAGAGAGAGAGATCAAAAGAATACGGGAAATCCAAACCTCACTCTTCTCGGCATTGGAAAGACGAAAATCATTGCTACTGTGTCGTACAGCCGAAATAATTCCATGTCCAACGAGGTCAACACCAAAAGAAGCAAGCCAAGGTAACCACGACCTCACACCATATCTCCTTACCAACAACACATAAACGAGCGGTCTTAAGATAAACATCACCTCTCCCGTCAAAAAGAATCCCCCACTTATACCCTTCTCAGACAAAAAATCAGACAGACTAGTCGTCTCAGCCACCGGTGCTGCAACAACATTTAAAAAAAAAAAAAAAAAAAAAAGAACACATTATTATCAGACAAAACGCATATTTAAACCAAAACAAAACGAGCCCAACGAGAAAAATTTACATGGAGGATCCATAATTGCCTGCTGGTGCTGAACCCTACGCAGCCATGTTGGCTCGGAAATTGTTCGAGCATTTTCACCGAATCTACTCAAGGCGAACAACGCCCTGCCTTCAAGATTCTGTGAATTATTCTCATGATGATTTTTCGATATCACATTTCTACGAGAATCAAAATCACTATGGTCGTTTCCGTCATTTATACTCTCCCCACCATGCAAAAGCACTTTATACCCACTGTTACGAAAACTTGCCAACCTAAGTGATGCCCTGTAATTTGATCCATCCACAGCATTTACGGTTACATATTTTGGGTTTACGGAAAAAAAAACAAAAAAAAGAAGTTTGGGTGAGGAAGTTAGTTTACTTGATAGCTTCTGTTACGGCCATGAAATTCCATTTATTTTCTTCACCGTATAATTGTTGGCCCGCAACTTCAACGAGGGTTTCCAAGTCTTTAAGCAAAGTTACGCAGAGTGATAACGGGAAGGAAGAAGACTCCACTTGCCGAATCTGAGTTGGAGTTGTATCGAGTATATGTTCGTTTATGGTTGTGATAATACCCAAAAATGACGTTACTGCAGCAAATTTTGAGGCGTATGAGGGGAAAACAATTTCAACAACCAAATATAAAATCAAGAAAGAAAAAAAGTACTAATTTCTATTATCTTATTTTTCAAGACTACAATCTACGTCATAACGGATTTAACTTAAAATTCTTCTGCCTGAAAGAAAAAATATCAGGTCGGTTTATTCTATATGTGGACATTGACTATGGTAAACGTAAAACTACTAAAACATTATCGGCTAACGGAAGGTTCATTCACTTCGTTCGTGGTACGAAAAATACATTTAAATCGGCACTTGATTTGTCAAAAAGAAAAATACGACGGGATTTGGTTATCGACGGTTCTACTTTTTCTTTCTCGTCTTTCGTTATTCCAAAAAAACAAGAATTCAACATACAAGAGCTAAAAGGAGCCACTTTTAGTAATAAGAAGAAGCCACTGTTACCAAAATGCTACAAAACCTGCTTCTGGTCCAATTTCCGACTCCGAAAATCGCTCCGGGAGAAGCCACGTTAAACCCTAAACATCAACAAAAACATCATTAAGAGTTTGCAACCACAATAAATGTATTTCCAAATATTTGCATCAAACATTAATAATGTCAAGTGTGGAAACACATAAATTAAACAGCTATGAACACCCAATTCACTTCCATTTCACAATCAAACAGCTATGAACAAATCCTTATAATAATAATAATAAATAAATAAAAAAAAAGAAAAAAAAAAGAGCAGAAGAAGAAAGGGGGAAAATTGAGCAGGCTTACATTAGCTAAAGATTCCAGAGAGTGAACATAATCTTTGTTTCTACGAACGAATCTCTTGTAATATTCCATGGGGGATCCAAACACTGAGAGAATCTCTACCAAAAACAACAACCAATTAATCTAGGGATTAATCACTAAACCCGTAGATTAATGGTAGAACACTACGGAACCCTAGAACCACCAAAATCCCGCAGCTTGATTTGAATAATCCTTCGCCGAATTTTTGAAATTGAAATTGAATCCCAGTAGAAAAAAAGGAAGGATTCCTTTTGGGGGTTTCGTTTCTTGAAATGTGTGTAGATGATTTTCTGTGTGTGTTGTGTGTGTGTGACGTCAGCCGATAAATTGTTTAAGAGAAATTCTCATTAATGGACGAACAAATTAGTGGATGGATTTTTCATAAATAAATGATTTAAATATTATTTTTCTTTATTCAGAAATACAATTGATTTTCTTGTCAATTTCTAAGTACATTATTTATAATAACATTGTAATTCATTTTATATTAAATTGGCTATTATTTGCAAATACATATTTAAAATTTAAAATTTTGTGGAAAAATTGCATAAAACAGAGGAAAATCGTACAGTATATATAGTATGACCATAAAATACAACCAGACATCATAAATTACTGAAAAAAAAATTCTTTTTAACAGCAAATCCCTTTACTTATTAGTTATTACAGTCTAAAAGAAATAATAAAAAAATAAAAAAAAGAAGTAAACTTCAAAATTTAAATCCATTGATTCATATTGCCTCATCAATCTTTTGTTTGCCCTTTCTGAGTCTTTCGAGTTCTGGTTCAGCGTCTTTCAGCTGCTCGTTCAGCGCCGATACTCTAAGCTCAAGTTCCTCTATTGTTCCTCTCGTAATTGACGATTTATACGGTGTTACAAAATTGTGCGAAAATGCTTTCAACGCTTCGACCCCACAAACCTGTTCAATATCAGCCGTTGGATCATATTAGTTTACTAATGCATAAAACAAAAAAAAATTCGAGAAAAGGCTACTACTAGTACTACCTCTTGGGGCAAAAGCGGCAACTTAGTTATGTTAAAATCGTCGTACAGCATGTAAAATTGATCGAGGTATTTTTGCTGCATTCGCATTCTAGCTTTCAGCAACTTCGATTGAATGACTGTAACAAAAATATAAATAAAAAAATTAAATAACAAAGAAAATTATTGGTGATTAAAAGAATATAATTTGGTATTAGTAGACGTAAAAAGGAAAATTCACCTTCTTCGTCAAAAATTACTTGGTTGATTATGATGTTATGCGTATCAATCTCGAATTTAGTAAGTTCTTGAACTAAGCGTTCAGTTTCATAAAGAGATAGGAATTCCGGAATGCAGACGCAAACGAAAGTCGTCAAATCCTGGCCAAGAAAAAAAAGCAACGCATAGCGTATAAAAACAAAATTATGGGATATTTAATTTTGGAGCTGCAGAATGCAAACGGATAGGATTAACGTGTAATTTGATCGAAAGAAACGAGATATTTCTTACAGGGTCCTTAAATTGCTGGTTCACTTGTTGAATCACTTCCTTCATGCCCTCAAGCTTTCCAAGAATGGCATCTTCACCAAATTCATCACCGAGACCAAATAAACGAGTCATCTGCCGTGAAATCGCAAGAAGATAATTAGTTTATATGAATTAAAAACTTATTTCATCTAATAAAAGTAAAGTAACGTAAAGTAAGCAAGAAATCAAACCTGGCCCAACAAACCGCCAAATCGACTCTTTAAACTCATAATTTTGGCGAGCCCTTTTTCTAAGGTTGAGGGAAACTGTAGCAGCCGAAGAGTGTGGCCGGTTGGAGCTGTATCAAACACTATGCAAGAATAATCCATAGTTTGTACTAGCCTGAAGAATATATTCAAGGCGAGTTCGCATTTTAAAACAAAACAAAAACAATATAAAATATATATATATATATATGAATCTTCAATGATAGATCGACAAGTATTGTTCACATTCATGTGATAAAGTATTAGTTTATGCTTCTTAGATAATTTCAAGAACATGTGACTCTATTAATATACGAAAGCTTTTCTAATTTGAATCGATGCTTCTCAATATAAGCAATCGTGCAAATTTGTGAGAGAAATCGTAGCTATACGGTCATTTTTTTCTCAAGCGAATGACACACTAATGAACATTAATTTGGAAAGTATCGATATAAACGAGAAACATTCCTGCCAAAGCAAATCGAGTACATTCCATACATCAAATGCCGGTCAATTTTGAAGCACAAAGCGGTCAAACTTACTTGAGCATTTCAGCCAAACTCATAGCTTCGTCGATTCCTGGGAATAGAATTAGCTAATTCTGACACTAATCCATCGGTTATATCTGAACCACAATCTCGTCGTGTTCCACATTGGGATCAACTTCCTACACGACCCAACATAAATTAATCCCATATATAGCACGTACACACGGCAAATTCTGACAAACGAAAATCTGTTTTTCTTCGAATGCTAGGATCAAATACAATCCACAGAGGGCAAAAATGTAAAGAGTGACGAACAATACAATGCCTTGTAGCTGTCGAAATTTATTCGATAAAAATTACATCTTGAAATTCGATGACAGCCCATTTACTGTACAGAAGTATACACAATCCCCAATCGAAATGAGTATCGACATCCATCAACATTGAGATGATTAATCATAATATATCAAAGTAAGACCCAATCACAATAAATTCCAACCCAAACAAACAGACGATTACAACAATCAGAACCCCCAATTTCAAGGGTTTTGAAATTGGGGGAAATTGAGGAGTGATGAGTTAACATACATACCATGGCGTACAAGTTGGAGAAGCCATTAACAAGGGAGGGAGCCTTGGTGAACTTCTGCTGGAACGCATCGCTTAGGTTATGGGCAGGGTCGGTGGAGATGATGAGTACGGAAGGCCGCACACGTGCGAGCAGTATCGACAGAATAGAGCTGCAGGTTGTCTTACCCACGCCGCCCTTTCCGCCGACGAATATCCACTTGAGCGAATCCTGCTCCAGTATATTCTCCAGTGTTCCCTCCGGCAATTCTTCGTTCGAACCCATCAAATCAAATAATGAAATTTCGCACTTGGGTCTTCTTTCTTTCTTGTTTCTTTGCTGAGTGGGGAGTTTATACAAACAGTTGGAGTGCGAGGAGGGTTTTTCGTGGATCCCCTTGGCTAAGTATGTATTGGGAAGAGATCTGATGGTGGATGGGAGATTGATTCTTTGATTCTTGAATTGCCTGTAAATAGAAGACTGCCTTTGTGCCTTCGGCTGTGCGAATCTATTTCATTTATGGTAATTTTATAATTTTACAAAAACTTTTCCCACTTTGTTTTAATTGCAATTATGGCCCTTGTGTTCGGTTATTACTAAAAGCGCCGTCATGTTGTTTACAATTTAACTGAAATGATTTACGCGGCAGCAACATTACGAATCTCATTCATCACCTCTATCTTTTAGAGCCTCTTCTTTTCTTTTTTTTTTTTTTTTTATTTTTTTTTTCTTCAA